TGTTTAAGATGCATTCCAAACTAATAAAGAGCTGTGTTATGTCCCCAGAAGTCTACAACTAGGGGCCATGTCTTTACCATCATCTGCATCATCCAAATCTTTTTTTTTTCCTCATTCAAGCCCTTGAGGAGGAACTAAATCTTTAAATTTGTAAGAGCTAAAAAAAAAATAATAATATTAAAAAATAAATAAATTTGTAAGAGCTAATCCAATCCCAGAAAGTGCTACAGAATTCTCTTTTTTTTTTTTCTTCAAGGTTCTCATTTTGGAGTATCTAAGAATCACCAGGGGTTAAAGCTGTGGCTGCCTAGGCCCTGTGCAGGCTTACCTGATCAAAATCTCTACATGGAAGAGAGAAAATAAGGCCCGGCCACTTCTAATGTATTAAGTTCCCAAAGCTGTTCTGGTGACTTGCTTAGTGTAACAACAACATTTTTATCAGTATTAACTCCAACCATGTCATTTAATAAATGTCAGTCACTGTCCTCAGCACTTTGCACATCTTATGTCATCTAATCCTTACAACCATATAGTGTATGCTACCATTAACACTGCTCTACCTTTCTCTTTGTTTTTATAGATGAAAACTCTAAAATATAAATTATTTAAGTAGCTCAAAGTCGCATGACTAGCTATAGCATAGTAGGAATACACAACAAAGTTTGAAAATTACCAATACAGGACTAGGGAGATAGCTTGGCCATCTAAGCACCTGCTTGGCAACTGCAAGGACTTGGGTTTGATCCCCAGAACCAAGGGCATGCATGCCACCACCAAAACTGGGCGTGGTGGAGCACGCCTGTAATCCCAGCACTGGGGAGGCTGAAACAGGAGGATCACTACCAGTCTGAGGTACATAGTGAGAATGTATACCAAATAAATAAACCATTAAAAAAAAATTTTTTTTTTAAATTACTGAAACAGTTTTCTAAGAAAATAGCTGCATACTCTGGTTAGGTCATATCAAAATGTTCTGTTTCACTGTATACACTGAAGTTAAAAACACTGTAAAAACTGAGCTGTCTAAAGAAAGCATGATGAGCTTCCCTCAAGCCAGGAAGGGACTCAGCGGTGCAGCTCATTGCTGGGACACACTCAGCCAGGCCTGAGCTCCACCTCCAGCACCAAAACACGAACACGAAGAACCCAGCAGGGAACAAAGGATCTTTGGCTCTCTGCCTACTTCCACTACAATTCATGCTATGGCTGTCTCCCCTCCTAGACTGCAAGCCCCTGAAACACACAGACTGTGGATGTGCTCTCAACTGTACTCCTGGTACCTGGTGGCTGCCTAAAATGAGTTTAGAAAGTAATCTAATTGATAAATCTAGTGATGGCCTGATAACTGTCCTGGAAAACATGAAAGGCTATTATGTGGAGAAAACAGACTTAATTCATGTTGCTGCAGGGGGAATAACTACTGTCGACAAGTAAACGGATATGGGGCAGATTTGAGGACAGTCTACAGTTTTTCTTGTAACGAAAGCCTGTGCAGGAACAGAGAAGCATGGCCACAGTTTGAAGCTAATGATCAGAATGTAGCAGACATAAGGTAGAGAGAATGTTAGATACAGAACTCAGAGCTCTTCCAAAGCTCAAATCCCCTTAGTCCATGCTACAACATACTTACTTCATAGACACAGTTTCCACTATTTATACAAGTCACATTAGTAAGCAACAGAGGTACAACATGTGTTCTACAAAGACAGTGTCTGCCCCCAAGGATTTAAAGAAGAAATACCCAGGGGTGAACATAAGCAAGGAGGAAGGTGATAGATACCCCAGAACAGCATGAAGTGAGGAGGAGACCCCCCAGCAGAGAATAAGAAGTAAACAAAGGTGTTACAGAAGAAACGCCACCATCTCAGTATATCTGAGCTAGATCTTCAGAGTCCCAAGAGGACAGGCAAGATGTCACATGCCATAGGAATCTGAAATAGCAAATCATTTGGTGTAGCAGAAATAGTTGGAACACAAAGAGGACAAGAAAGCAAGAGAAAGAAGCTAAACAAGTCAGTCATTCTAGTGCTTCAGTTCCATCATCTGAACTAAAGAAATTTTACTGCAGTAGCTACTAAAGCCTGACACACCAAACTCTAGAGATGTAAGTCCAACACATACACAGACACTTCACAGATGATACCCTGCTGGCACTAAATAAAGACAGCTTAGTTCTCTTTTTAATTACATTTTCACAGGCCAAGTATGATGGCATACATCCGTAATCTCAGAACCTGAAAGGCTGGGGCAGGAGGATCGCCATGAGCTCAAGGCCGTGGTGGGCTACAAAGTGAGCTCAAAGCCAGTCTCAACTATGTAACAAGACCCTGTTTCAAGAAACCAAATAATAACAATTATTATTATTATACAAATCAAAAACTGTATTGATGATTTGTTCTTTGTTTAGTTTTTAAGATTAATAGAGCCAGGGATATAGCTCAGTGGCATAAGTTCGCTCCCTAGTACCAAGAAAAAAAATAAATAAAAGACTGATAGAAAAAAAGGTCCTCTCATTTCAAGAAAATCTTTTAAAGATTCTACTTATAAAGCATTTATGTTTTACTGCTTAGTATTCCTTCTATTTAATGTGACAACCAGACTTGCAGCTATTACAATTATAATTAAAACTTGGCCCTAAGCCTAATACTTACCCCTATGTAATTATAATATTTACCCACAGTACTACAAAATAAAAAGTATTGTTTAGTTAAAAAGGGTGTGGGGTACACACCTGTAATCTTTGCACTCTCAAAAGATGAGGTAGGAAGAGAGCAAGTTCAAGCCCAGCATGGGCAACTTGGGAAGACTCTGTCTGAAAATAAAAAAAAATAAAAGGTATGCGAAGGTAGCTTAGCATGAAGGTCCTTAGTTCAACCCCCAGTACTGAAAAAGGGTGGGGGCATTGCTTATTTAAAAAGTGTTTTGCAAGTACAAGATTATTAATAAATGGAATCTTGAACAAGTCTCAGGCCCATGAAAGAATCTCATTCAACTTCTACATTATGACACTATTCAAGAAAATAGTGTCAAGAAAAAACTGAGGCAAAGAAAAGTCTAAATTCAAAAGCAAACAAAATGAAACATATTTGAATAATAAACTTAATATTCTTCTGGCCAATCAGTTCTCACCACTCATGGACACTATTTTAAGGATCTGAAATCTTGCTCTATAAAAAGCAAGTTCCCATCATCTAAACTACACTTGAGAGATGGTATCGCAGAAGTTACTGAAGCATAACACATTAAGCTGCAGATTTTTGCTTGCTATCAGTACAAAAAATGCTTTCCTCTTTTACATAAAGGTACATCTGAGAGTTAACTCGAACACCTCATACACTAAGAGAAACGAATTTTTCATTCTAATATAAACTTGTGGTGAAGCCTCTTAGCCACATCAACTATAACATGGAGATACAGTATTTGACACCTCCACTACCAGCGAAGTCTCTTCAGAAGAGTTCTGACTTTGGTTAACCTTCGCTTGAAAGAGTCAAAAGCTACGGCTGAAAACTCCTAAATAAAAATTAACTTAAAAAGAAATCTAAACCAGCTCTACATGTGAGCCCTAAAAAACAATGATAAATAAAAGATATGTTAACTGCTTTGTTAGTGCAATTAGACAATTTGACAAAGATGAATAAGCAAACAGTTCATCAAAAGTTAAATCTTTCTTGGCAAATGGAGAATTAAAATAATAGTCCATGCTCTGGGGCATGGTGCTATTTCCCTTATCTCTACAGGGTCTCCGCATCAATGTTTCTCTTCTCCCAGTCCCTCCATGAGCAAATGGGCCAAAGCTCAGTAAATGTCACAAATAATGACAGTAATTAAAGTAACAATTTCTAGGGCCAGACCTGATACATATCTGTGGCACCTAAATATGGTGCGTGTGAGTACGCGGCACGGTGCAACTGTTCCTCACTTTCGACCACTCTGCATCACCGCCTCCCCAAGGTCTGGAGAACCCAAAGTTCCCATTGCCAGGTCCACACATCACAGTGTCATGTTTTAAAGAGCTCACAGGTGCTACGAGTAAGTCAGCAATTAACGAAAACACACCACTATACAGAAATTCACCTCAATGCAACACGTTTGAAGCTTCCACCTCACTGCTTTTTTTTTTTTTAATTTTAGAAATAAGTACAACTATTTTTTTAAGTATTATGTAATAAGTTAGACTCTGGAAAACCCCATACTCATCCGAGCTGCTCCGAAAGCCGGAAAGCAAAACTCGATTAGCTCCATTGTAGCCAACCAGGCTAACGTGCAAGATCACACACTCATCTTCGTCAGAGCGGCTGCCAATACCCAAGAACAACAAAGGCAAGTTGATGAGGCTGCACAGGCTGAACTCGGCACTTGTCCGCTTTCCCAGCTTTGGAAAGAAGCTCTCAGAAGACCCCCAGGAAGCAAGGCGACCCTCTGCATCCCACCGGGCGGCTGCTCCCTCGGCGCCGCTCGCTCCGCTTTTGTCTGGCCCGGGTGGGAACCCCGGCCGCCCGCCCGCCCGCCCGCCCGCCTCCCCGGCACCCCTTCCCTCCGGATCTGGCTCCACACCCATCATTCTCCGAGGACTAGTTGTTGTGGGATTTCTCTCCACAGCCCCCTCCCCTCGCAGTCCGCGGCTCCTTTCAAGCGCGTCCTGGGCTTCGAGGGCTTCTGCACCCGGCCGGGAGCCTCGGGTCAGGAAGGGGGCCCGGGGTGGGGTCTGGAGAGCGGCGAGGAGCGGGGCGCACAAAGCCCCGCGGACCCTCCCGCGGCCCCCTCCCGCGCAGAGCGGCCTGGGACCAGCGACCTGCCAGTCCGATAAACAACCTTCGCAGCCCGCTCCTCCGCCGGCTCCCACCTCGGGGCGCCCCCTCCCCCAAAGTGCACACCGGAGCGGATGACAGCGCCGGACCTCGCCCCCATCCAGAGCCCGCGCCCGCCACCGCGAGGAAGGGGCCCGGGGCCTCGGGAGGACTCGGGGCTAAGCCTCCTCATTCTCACCCGGTACTTACAGCCTATTATTCGCTACTGTTACCGCCGCAGACCCGGCAGCCGCCGCCTTCTCCTCCACCCCAATGAGGTTGAGCGCTTGGTGCGGGGATTAAAAAAAGAGCGAGAAAAGCCGACAGCGCCTGCGCAGTGCAGTCTCCCTTTCTCCCCTTACCGCCACCAACTGGGCTAGACCATAGAGAGTGTAAACCGAGACCAGAGAGGCGGCTGCCTCTCTATGGTGCTCCTCTGCGCAGGCGCAGGCGGGCTTCGTTAGCGCCGGGTCGCCAGCCTTTGCCCCAAGAAGGGTGTTGCCTGACCCTAATGGGGACCCGTAGGGTAAAGGTTCCTGCAGGAAAGGGTGACAGTGTTAAGTTAGGCCCCTTGGGAGTTGGGATAGACAGACGCCGGATCTAAGTAAGATCGCGCTGGAAAGATCCTTCAGTGTAATAGGAAGCGCTAGAGAGGAGTCAGGAGTGTGTGGTTAAAAGTCGTCCGGCCGGAACTTCCTTTGGCCGGGGCTCTAACACCTGAAAGGAAACAGTTTTTCACTTCTGGGTTACCGCGCCCGCGCTACTGGGCGACTTCGACGAAGGAAATTGTCCCTTTCGCCTTCCCGTAGAAGGCGGGAACTATTTTCCTTTTGCGCCGGGAGCCGCCTCGGAGATTTGTGCCGGAAGCGCACCTTTTTGTCTGTGTTTCCCTTTTGAGGTAGGTCCTGCCCCTTAGGGGGCTTCGAGAACCTCCGAGTTGGCCAGCCAGATTTTACTTTATAAATGATGCTGCTGTTCTGTCCTTCCTCACGCGTTGCTTTCGGAAGATTTATGAGACAGTGTTTTGAAAGATACAAAACTGAAAATTATGCGGCTACCTTCAAGGACCCTGGAGGACCCCGTTCTGCCGCGCCAAGTCCCTGTGCACGCCGGTAACTCGATTTGGAAAGAATTTTTGTTAAGATTGTGAACTATTTGGTGAAAATCGGTCTTTAAGAGTGTGGGCCGGCGAATGCTAAATGAAGTATGCCAGACACTCGCCTAAATATCGTATAGTTGCTCATATGAAAAACCCAATATGTAAAGAATACATAAAAATAATGGGAAGTAGATCTTTTTCAGAAGGAAGGAGACCAACAGATGGAGGGAGGAACTTGAGGGCAGAGGATGGGGTTTAAAAACTTGAGACGTGTACTTGTACCAATTCTAATTCTCCACGAAGAATGTAACCGTGTACTGCAAACGTAGTAATAAAAAAAAAAATGAAAAACTAAACATAAGCATTTAAAGAAAACACCAAACTCTTACTGCTGTGAATTCTCAAAGATCGTTATTTTCTTCAACTTTTGTTTCCTGAATGGTCTACTAGAAACACGATAAACGTCTTTTAAAACTGTGGGTTGGCTCTACGCACTAGGGTTCTAGAAGATATCTTCTGTGCCAGGTTCCGTGGTGCTGCATTATGTATGTGTTGCAAGAGGGGAGCAGAATTGTGAGGAGGCTAAACGCAAAAAACTGAGCATACGAAGGCCCTTCTGAGTAGTGCAGAAAACGTGGGACTGGATTGAAGGAGTAAGAATGCCATGGAAGACTGGTGGATCTAAAAATAAAAGTGGGTGTCACCAAATCACTAATTTGCCGCGGCTGGGCTTGAACTAGTGATCCTCCTGCCTCAGCAGTGCTGGGATCGCAGGCATGCGCAACCACACCTAGCCTAACACATTTTCTGAATGTTATTGGTCTATGGTTGAATCCTCAGGTGTCAAATCATTAATATGGAGAGCCAATGTCTTTTTTTTTTTTTTTTCTTTTTCTTTTTTTTTAAAGGGGTAGTGTAGTTCAGGCTAGTCCTGAACTCACTGTGTAGCCCAGACTGGCCTCAGAACTCTTGAGATCCTCCTGCCTCAGCCTTACTCCCAAGTGCTAGAATTACAGGGAGGTTCCAACACACAAGGCTGTCTGCCTAAATTTTTTTATTTTTATTTTTTGTATTTTAGGGCAAGATCTACAGGGTCTCACTGTGTAGGTCTGACTCATAGTGATCCTCCTGTTTACAGCCTCCCAAGTGCTGAGATTACAGGAACACACCACCAGGCCCAGTCTCAGTTGCTGTCTCAGCACGCTCCGGGGGCGGGGCAGCGGGCAGGGATCCAGCTCCCAGGCTCTGCATCTGCCTAAGCAAGTGCTTTAATCCGCTGAGCTATTTGACCGGCCAGTCTTCCTAATTTTGTGATAGCAGCTTTACTGAGATAAATTTATAAACTATGTAATTTACCTGCTTAAAGAATATAGATGGATGGTGCATTCAAAGAGTTATTCAGCCATCACCACAGTTTGTTTTAGGGCAATTTCATCACCCTAAAAAGGAACTCCTCAGATGATGTCAGTGCAAGCTCCTAAACTGTAAGTGTACCACTCAGAGGCTGTTGGTCATGAAGGAGGTTAGTCATGTTGGGAGCAAACAGTACATGGGAAATTCTCGCGCCTCTTGCACAGTTATGCTAGGACACTAAACCTTTAAACAAAAAAGAATAATACTAAAATTTGGTATTTTTTAAAAAACAAAAAACTACATCCATTAGTAGCCACTCCCTATTTCCCCCAACTCTCCAGTCCTAGGAAATCACTAGGAATTTGATGCCTCCTTTGTTGCCTCTGTGGGTTTGCTAATAATAGTTCATTACCTCTTATTGTGAAATAAAATTGCATTTTATGTACATCACTACCATAGTTGACACCAGCTTGTGTCCATTAACTGTTGTAAATAATACCGCTGTAAATATTATATTACAAGGTTTGTATAAAAATGTTTTCGGTTTGCTTGAACATGCACTAAGGAATGAAATTGCTAGATCCCTTGATCTCTGCATGATTAGTCTTCTCGGGAATGACTCAACTGTTTTCCAAAGTGAATACTTCACGTTATCTTCCCGCTAGCACACATGAGGGTTCCAATTGCTCCACATCATCACCCATATTTGTTAATATCTCTTTATTATTATACCTAACCTACTTAGTGCGAGATGATATTTCACTGTGATTTTAAATTGTATCTCTGTAATGATTTAATATCAAGTGTGTTTTCATGTGCTTCTTGACAGTGTGTACCATCACAGAAATGTCTGTTCAGATTCCTTGCCCATTTATAACTGGCTTATTTGAGTTTTAAAAGTTCGTTATATACTATAAAATTGCTTATCAAATGTATGATTTGCTAATATTTCTTCAATATAAGTGGGCTGCCTTTTGTCATCTTGGTGATGTCCTTTAAAGCACAAAAGTTTTTACTTAAGGAAGTCCAATTGATTTTTTCTTTTGACATGTTTCTGGTGTCATAGTTAAATCATTGTCTTATCTTTTGGTTTTTTTTTATTAGTGCCTTGCACTCCAGGATCCTGTCTATGATGCATTTTGAGCACATTTATAGATAGATAGATTAGATAGATAGATAGATCGATCGATCTGGTGTGAAAAAGGATCCATCTTCAGTCTTTTAGATGTCGTCATTCAGTTATCCCAACATCATTTATTGAAAGGATGATTCTTTCCCCCACTGAATTACCTTGGCAACCTTGTTGAAAATCATTTAAGTATAAATTGATTTCTGTATTCATTCCATTAATTTACAGTCTACTTTAAAGTCAGTACCACAGTGTTTTGATTATTGTAGCTTTGTCATAAATGTTTGAAACTGGGAAATGTGAGTTCTGCAAATTAGTTTTCTTTTACTTTTTTTAAAAAATGTATTTGGTACAGGGTCTCACTGCGCAGCTTGAATTCGTAGTGATCCTCCTGTTTTCAGCCTCCCCAGTGCGGGCATTGAATCTGTTGATCAATTTGAAAAATATTGCCACCTTAATGTCAGGTCCTCAGATTTATAAACACAATGTCTTTCCACATTCTAAATCATCTTTACTTTCAGTGATTTTCAGAATGTAAGTTTTCCACTTTTACATATTTATTCTGTCTGAGTCACTTTCCCGTTTGCTAGGACAAATATCCAACACCTACAACTTAAAGGAGCAAAAGTTTATTTGGCCTCACACTTTATAGATGTTACAGTCTATAGTCGCCTGCTAGTTTCCAGCAGAATGTGATGGTAGAAGGTTCTGCCTTAAAGGGAAGATACCTCATACTGAGCAGGAGGCAGAATGCAAAGCCAAGAACTGGAGAGGGAATTACAGTCTTCCTGATCATGCCTCCGGTAGCTCTCCTAACCAGACCGCACCTCCTAAGAACAAGTCAGCCATAAGCTCCCTTAATTCAGTCACTTACCTGAAGTGCTGCCTGTGAGCACATGAGGACATTCATTTATGTAAACTACCATATTCCTATATACTTTCTTTTTATGCTGCTGTAAGTAGAATTGCCTTCTTTATTTTTAATTGTTCATTGCAGTAGTGTAGGAATACAATTACATTTTATTTAATTGTTCATTGCAATAGTATAGGAATACAATTACGTTTTATTGATTTTTGTATCCTGCTAATCCCTGTGTAGATTAGGGACCTACTGTGCAGTTTAGGCTGGTCTTCAGCTCACTTTGTAGCCCAGGTTGGTCTCAAACTCAAAACAGTCCTGCCTCAGCCTCCCAAGTGCTGGAATTACAGGCATGCACCACCATGCCCAGGCTTTTAATGTATATCTTAAAATTTTGTATATAAATCATCACATCTACCAATGGACATTATTCTTTCCAAAGTGAATTTCTGTTTCATTTTCTTGTTTATTTTTTCAAAGTAGAACCTCCAGTGTAATGTTAAAGAGAAATATCAAGAATGTATGGCTTAGGGACCAGGGAGATGGCTCAGTAGCGCTTTCCTGGCAAGCACAAGGACCTGAGTTCAATCTTCGGTTCCGCCAAGAATATATGGTTTGGAGCCAGGGAGAGAGCTCAGCAGCAGAAGTGCCTTCCTGGCAAGCACAAGATCCTGAGTTCCATCCCAGTCCAAAAAAAAAGAATATATGTTTGGGGTGCATGCTTAGTGTGCACACTAACGGTGGACATCCTTGCCACTTTCCTAATATTACTGAGAAAGCATGTTGTTTTTCACCAGTATTTGATGTGGTTAGTTCTTGTAAGGCCCTTATCAGATTGAGGATGTTTCCTTTTTAGTCCATGTTTATTGAATATTTTATCACTGAAGAGTTACAGGCTCTTATGCTTTATATGTAGATATCTCCTTAAAGC